GCGTATAAGTGATACAACTATTCCATTATCGGAAACAGCCGGTCGCGCGGATGCTAAGGAACAAGGAGTCGTGACAGGAGTCTCTCTCGCGGGCACCCGAGATGAAACCGGCACGCGTGAATAATTCATAAGGCCCGTCCGGTGTACTTTTTGAAGTCGCGACGATGATACTTATGTAAGTTGTAACGGTGTTTCTTCTTTAATTATATTCGCTACCGGGGACCGGGGAAATCGTGACGTAAAGGCAAAGTAACGTCGGCTGGCAAATCACCGGAGGAAAACGAACAGAGCGAGATAAAGAGAGAGAGAGAGGGGGGGGGGGAGAGAAAGATGTTAAAAGAGACGTTACATCTCGACGAGGGAAGGCAAGATCAATATAAATTCGATTAACTGGTGGAAACTCTGGATTCACTGGCTGGAACTTGAAGTCAAATTTAACAAAAGTTGTATCGTCATCCTCCATTTTCCAATATTTTTCGCTTTACTACCGTGTTGCGCACCGTGTTAAATTGAAAGGTATACCGCGTCGAGTTTGACGGAGATCGAGGCTTTCCTGTCGTTTGGAAATTTCGTGGAAGATAAGTTGGAGGAATCGGTGTTCACTTCGGTTTTAGTTTAATTTAAAGTTCGATTTTTATTCAATTTTCGCGATTTTTATTCAATGTTTCTTTGAAACAAAAGCGGCGAAATTTAGTGTATTTGCATGAAACTTTTGGAATGTGCACAATATGCAAAAATATATAACGTTCGAAATGTAGCATTTATTATATATATCATATTAAAAATTTCTATTTAAGTTTCATTCCTTTAGGATTTATGTATATGAAAATACAAGAATGCGTAAATATATCTGTACTTTGCAAATTAAACTCTTCGAATATTTGAAATTTACGTCGAATCTATTTACAAAACACAGCAAAAATTGTAAAATATTCCAATTAGAATACTTACTAAATACTTGCTAAATTAAATAAAATTCAGCCTTCTATTACAAATTATATTTACGAGGATACAAAAATGCATAAAGACCTGCAGTCTGTTAATAACAGATTAATGCCTTAAAATATCTGAAATTCTCTACCTGCAAATATATTTACAAAATACAAAAGAAATTGCAGAACGAATCAATCAAATGTTCAAATTGGAGTAATCTATAAATACAACGTAAAGATACGTTAAATATTCACGGAAAATGATATGTACAAGGATCCGCAGTCTGGTTTACGAAAAGTCTGGTTTGCAATGTAATTTGAAAGACTCGTCGAGAGAGAGGCAATCTTTGATCTCTGTGGAAGATGGTACGAAACGAAGCTCGGACGTTCAGATAACAGAAACCACAGAAACCTACGGGGTCCAGTTCTAGTAGCTACTCTCAATGGAGTCGCGCAACATTTACATAACATCCGGGCTATTGGATTTTCGGCAATCGACGTTTGCTAAACGTTATAAACGGCGTCCGAATGCAAATTCAGGTTTTGAACAACAATTCTCCTTGCAACTCGCGTTGCAACGGAATATTAACGGCGATTTCGCATGTTGCGTTCGACATTCTTTACGTTTTTCACCACGATCGCGCTAACATTTGTCCGAACAAATCTATTGAGTTTTCACGCACGATACAAGTTTCCTCTCTCTCTCTTTCTCTCTTTGATATTGTAATTTTTTTATATCAAAATCCGAAACCTCGTTAGTTTCGTGTCCGTTTATCGAAGTAAATGGCGTGAAATGATCACTGTCACTTTCGTTAGAGAAACGTTTCAGCACCTCGTGCAACGTGCTACGATTTCGTTGAAAATATATCTAGAAAAGTAGATGCTGTGAAATTGTTAAATCTTCAGTAATTTTGTCCAAATCTCGTTACTTTTATATTTTGTCACTTACGAAATTTCAATGCTTGAAGTTCATTCTTCATTTCATATGCTTGAAGTTCGCTCTTCTTATTTTTACAAGTACAGTTAAAGAAATGAAATTTACTTGAAATATTATTTACACTAAAGACCACTTCTGTACGGATTATTTCCCAATAAATTTTCCCCGCAGTTTAACAAACAGCCAACAAATTCTACATACAATTTACAAACTACTGACGACCGCTATTAAACTTGCGTCAAAGAAATTGAAGTGGCAGGTGCACGTAGAAATGCACAAAGGAATGGAAAAGAACGAGCCTTTCGTCCGACGAAAAGTCTGTCGAATTTCAAATATTAAAAGGAAAAAGGAGTTTCCAACATCTGGCGTTAGAGAAGTCAAGAATTTCGCGTAGAGTTTTAAAGATTTTCCAATTGGCAAGTGTCAACTCGTCTCGATCGAAGGATCAAATATTTACGATAATACGACTGCGTATTACAAAATAATGCAAAGCTTCTCACTTCTTCTCACCTCTCATCGAAAACTCTTCGTTGTTCATCGAAAAACGAGATATTCGAATCTTCGAGATAAAAGTCTTAGAAACATCTGATTCCAGGGGCCCATCAAACGTGTTAGGAATTTGTCGATCCGGCCTCGATCCGTTTCGGTAAACGAGGTGACTGTCGTCGGGGATACTTGTTGAACGCGTGAAACAGGATACGGTCTAGCGTAGTTGAAGCGGCCAGGAAATTAGATCAGGTCGGAGGATTGAAGGGTCTTCGTGCCTTGGCGGAGACAGTCGGAAAGGCTGGTGTCGCCGGAAAATACATTCCGAACAGAAGGGGAGAGCCATTCGATTTCAAAGCGGCTCAACGACGTATCGATCGGACAGACACGTTTCCAACCAGATACAGTGAATGAAAAAAGTATTGGCGCGTCATACTTTTCTTTTTTTTGGAAATATCCAGTATTCATATTGATGTAATGTATTAACATACGTCAATTGTGTCTTGCGTACTGCATACTCTTTTAGAACATTTAATAATACGATAAATAAAAATGAAACTTTCGTAGGTAAAAATTGACACATTTGTGACTTGATTAGAGGATGCATCGTTATTTAATTTATCACATACAAAAGAAATATGAACACAAGAAGATTCTCGAGAGTCCAATTCGATGTTAAATTTTTCTACTTCTACTAAGGAGAATATTGAATAAAAATATTGAATTTACTCTCATCACAGAATAATCACAATATGTAATAAATAGCCTAAGAATTTTTATGTATTTGTGAGAAATTCAGAGATGCAAAAATACAGAGAGTGTAACACGTAATTATGTAAAAATATACAAAGTATAGTAAATATCCAAATAGAATTAAGGAATTTCTATTTAGGCTACGTTCTTTGATTATATTGACAAGAATTTCGAATTCCATAAAAATTCTCGCGGCAAGAAAATTATGTGTATAAGAACATTTCCAAGAATGCGACTGTGATCAATGCTTTTCCGCTGTAGACTCTCATCGTGAATGAAATTTTGATTTCAACGGGATCGTAATCGCGACCGGCCGATTTCCAAACGTTTCAATTAATAAAATTCATTGTAAATTCAGCCACGCCGGATGGGAAGGCAGCTCTATTCCCGCGCACAAACAGCGAATAAATTACGAGTCCATAAAAGTAGCCGGGCCCTGCCGAAATTAGATTGCTTCCATTAACCATTGATTACCCAGCGGCTGAATGGACAACGAACCGTCCCGGCCTCGAATTTATTTCCGACGTCGCTTCAATAATTAATTCGTTCCGTTTCGCGTGAAATTTCACGAGCGACGCGCGTTCAACCCGTCCGCCGACCTCCCGCGGCTGCTTTTCTGTTACTCGTTCTTTCTTTTCTGTAAACAGCGGAAAGCCAAGCAGGCTTTTTGATCGCGATTTTCCACAGACAACGCGAGAGGAGGCGGGCCGGAGAATTTCGGCGGTATATGTTTTTATTCAGGCGTAGGATAGGTGGGAAAACCAGGCAATACCATTAACTGTTGGATCCCTAAACTTTGCGAACTCAATTCCCCTTTCCGTGTTTGCCTCGTGGCGTCGTGATTTTCAGGCCAGTTGCCGAGGTCTGATCAAATCTGTAACTGAACTAGAGTTGAAAAAAAAGGAAACAAAAAATAAGAGAAAAGAGAAACAATTTTTATTTATTTATTTTTTTTTTTTTTTTTAAGTAGAGATGTTTTAATTTGTTGAAATATAGAATAGAGGAAAATCGAAACGTTCGCGTCTCGTTTCTGAAAATTAAATGAAATTGAAATGATTGAAATGTTCATTGATTCGAGGTATTTCATATTAGATACATACGCTCTTTCCTTTCCGTTGAAATAAGAAACGGAGAAGAATGAAACATTCGCGCTCCGTGCGAATGGTTTTGTCTTCAAATCGATTTAAATTAGTTTAATTGGAAATTAATTGAAATGTTAAAAGAACGGGGAAAGAGAGAAACGTTGCTTTGTTTCTGAGCACAGTCGTTCTAATTTGTTGAAACGACAGGTTACAGAAATGAAATAGTTGCGTTTCACGTGTGTGCGGTATCGTTTTAAAACCGAATTAATTAAAATTGATGATGGAAATGACTGAAAGAGTAGGGAAAAACAAGGAGAAAGGGAAGCATTGTTTTGTTCTGTAACAGAGTTGTTTCAATTTATTGAAATAAAATGTAGAAACAGAATGAAATATCCACGTTTTTTACGTGCAGTTCCATTTTGCAAATTAATATAAATTACGTTAATTTAAAATTAATTACTTTGGAAAATGAAGAAAGAAAAATGAAAAGGACGAACGATTCTTCTTTTTTCACAGAGTTGTTTTGGCCAAACGAAAATATTTGGTTTAAATCAATTTAAATTAAGTCAATTAAAATTTAATTCAGAGAAACATTGTTCCCTTGTTTTAACAGGCAGAATAAATAAACGATAAGCACCAAGAGCAAAAACAGTTGTGTTTAATTCGCTAGAGAATTTTAGAAGTTGAAATACTTTCGAATGCAGAAGCTAAAAATATGCACGACAAGAATAATAACAACATTGTCAATATAGAAATTCGATCATGTATAGGATACATAATTCACGACACATGGTTCAAGAGATACGACAAAATACCAAGGGAAATACAGTCGTACAATACATTTACAAGTATATTCGTCTTTCTCTAATCGATGATTCCTCTATGATCATTCTCGATTTTTTGATTCCATAAAATGAATACGTATTCTTCCAACGGGGTGATTCCAACGATGTGTCCCCAAAGACCGATGAGACGTTAAATTTTCACGTGTGTCAATCGAAATTTCGTCGCACGGGTACGAATTTTTTATTCACCTCTAATGGTTTTTCTATTTTTTTAAGCAATCTGTGTGAAAAATAGAAAAAGACAGACATATTGAGTCATTTAAAATGTAAAATGGATGAATTTTTTAGTAAACTCTGAAGTAATTGAGTTCTCCGAAATTTAAGGTAAATTCTGAAATAATTAAAATGTATGTAAAAAAAAAACAACAGAAAATAAATTGTAAAGTAATGGAGTTCTCCAAAATTTAAGTCAAATTCTGAAGTAATTAAACTACGTAAAAAAAAAGAGAAAAAAACTGTAAAGTAATTGAACTCTTCAAAATGTAAAGTAAATACTAAAGTAATTAAGCTGCCCAAAATTAAAACTAAATTCTAGTAATTGAATCCTTCGAAATGTAAAATAAATTTTAAGATAATTAAGCTACAAACTACTACTAAAAGTAAATAAATAAATTATAAAGCAATTGAATCTTCTAAAATTTAGAGCAAATTCCAAAACAATCATATCGTCCAAGATATAAAATAAACATATTTATTGGCCCCCCCCCCTCCCAAATTTTACTTTACGAAATTATTACAAATTAAAGTTTACGAAAGCAGTTCCAAAGAAACGGATTCGTTCAAAATTCGAGGTTGCAAAATTTGAGAAAACCTGCGTCTGTTGGCGAAACTTCTCGAGTGTCGTTTTCGTTGAGCGTCGGCGGCTCGAATATAAAATCGCTTTTTAGACGCGTCCATAAACTCCCAACGATCGGCCGCGATTCTCGCAATCACCCGCGACGGATAATTCCTGTCGAGTTGTTCCCGCAGGCTCCGGTAGTAGTGTATGAAAGGATTGATCGATCGGCAAGGCAAATTTCGCCTCCTTTTATTTCTTCTCGTTGGGGCATCTTTCGTCGCGGTTTCCATCTGTCGCCTCCATTCGGCGGTTAACTGCATCGTTTTCGATTTTATAACGACCTCCGCGTTCTCTTCGTTCACGGAATATTCACCGTGAAATTTTACTCGCGTTTGCCCCCTCGGACATCGACTTGATTCCCCCTGTGCCAGTTTACCGACTTGAAGATCGCCTCGATACCTGGCTGGATGACACTCGATCGACGTGTTATTGCACTTGTTTTTATTTCATCGACCAAGAGCGAACTTCTCTTTTTTCAAAGAGCTTCGGAGCGGGAGGGCGTTACGTTTGAACTTTCACAAACTGATGGAAGTGAATCGTTTTGATTCTGCACGTGGGGGACATTTGAACAGACGATCACTATTGAATTACACTCCGTAATTAAATTAAATATAATTGTTGAAATTGTAGAAATTGAAACGCAACTGTGAAATCGTAAAATTGAAGCACGTAGTTGAACGAAATTATATCAAGTTGCATTTTGCAATAATTATTCATTTAAACTCGACGTTCATAAATTATTGGTACACACTGGGAAGTTTAAAAAATAAAAAGCAGAATTAAAGAAGAAGATTCTTCTTGCATAATAATTTGTCAGTTGATAATATTAGTGATTTATATTAAATTACTTCCTCTTCACAATTTTATTACAATTTCACATCAAATAGAATAATCAGATAGCTTGCGACGTATAAAACTCATTTATAAAAGTTTACTTGTATTGATGTCACTTGAGAGAAATTATTATGAATGAACGAACGAATCTTTATTTCAGCCTTTCGGCCTAGAAATAGACCTCAGTGCCTTACATTATTCTTTACATTTTGTTTTCCGTTTTAGTTCCCTTGGTTGTCAAGTTTTCTCTTATTATTTTTCCCTTACATCTAGTATTGCGTGCTTTAACCTAACTTTATACTATATATAGACTAATTAGACTAAATAGAGAATGATATTTGCACACTGCCTTTACAATATTGAGAGAAATTATTATTAATATCTTGTAATTTGCGACTTGCAAAACACCGCTGACAATATTAATTCAATCGTATGCAAGAGGATCCGGGAATACAATTTGTGACGAAAGGATAATTTACTCACATTGCACTGCGTGTATCAGGAATATCGCGATTGCTGGGAAGTCCATCGGAGGCTTCCTGATTGAATTTATTCCTAGCATATGGATCCTCTCCTGCTCGCAGTCCTCCTCTCGAAACATACCTAGAAACATTACATATTATTTATTACTGATTAATATCACATTATTCTCCATTAATATTAAAACATAAATACATCATCGTTAATGAAATAAATGTCGAAATTTTTTCACAAGATTTCAAGTGCAACAATCTCTAATGTATTATAAATGCTCCCTTCCAATATTAAAATATTATATGTTAAACATAAAATACAATCAATATCAATATGTTATATCGAATCTTAAATATTAGAATATTGTAATGGGTAAAAAAAATTTCGTCCTTTGTGGAAATATCTTGCTAGAAACTATTCGTTTGCACATGTGATACGCGTCGCGAACAATACGTTCCGGCAGTCTAGTGAAATAATCTAGTTTCAATGCGCCAAGTTCAGAGAGAAAGAGAAAGAAAAATCTGCAGTTCCACTGCAGGTACATTAATAGTGGATCTTGAAATGGTTTTTTGGACGTTTAACAATGCATACGGTTGTCACTAATTAGTATTCAGTTCTTGCGCCTAGCATCGAGATTGCACACCACTTTCTAAATAATACTTTTTTACACTGCATCGTCGTGCATCAGAATTATGCAGTGAGCCCTGATAGCGCGATCGAATTTTACAATTTCGTTCGAGTGCTTTTAAGTAAATGCTTCATTTTCCAATATTTCTGACATTTCCACATTTTTTTAAAGATCGAAGTGGCAATTGAGATATTACTGTCAGTCAAATAATAATTCTTTCTTTTTAATAAGTTTCTTTAATTTCAATTTTCTCTCAGTTCGTAAGGGAGACATAACTGGGGGTGAAATATATGGCTGGCGGCTGATTTACCTCCTCAGACGAAAAAAAAGAAAGACAAAAATACCTTGAACAATGACTTAAAAAAGTTCTGACTCTAACAAATCACGTAAGATAAAAATGAAAAACAGAAATGTTACGAGTTTTGGTAGCCAGATACGAGCAATGGTCAAAAAAGAAATGGTAAAGTTCAGAATAATTCTGAATGATAAATAACGGCAGATCTAAACAGAGATAATTGTCAGGAAAAATGGAACGTAATTTGGTAAAATCATCGCTCGATCTTACCCCTGCTCGTCGAAGTAGTTCCACGTCACCCTTGGATCCGGAGTGGGTGCAGGAAGCAGCTCGGAGGACATCACGATGGCGGTGCCATCTGGGTCCACGTAGCTACCAGAGTTTCCAGCGGAGAGAGCCAGCGATGCAGGCTCTTTCAATCGCAGGGCTCTATTCTCGTTCTGCGAGCAAACAAAGATCTCTTTGAAGCAACTCCTACGATTGTGTAAATCTTGTTCGGTTATTGTTAGAACTTGATCGATAAAGTGCAATCGTGTCCCTATCCGTGACGCTCTACTTATCTTGACTGTCGTTGTCAACAAGTGTCATCCAACTAATATCCATATTTATATACTTTTCATATACTCATGAAAGAATCGATGATCTCAAGATTTATAAACGAAGATTTAATTTAATTAGTTTGAGGATTCGTGCCCAATGTTCAGCCAATCTAGCCTGCGTCGAATATTCTCTACATCCATCGCGGGTCACCTATCACGGACACAATGTGCAAAGTCAACGCGATATCAATGGGTTGACCGACGCACCTGGACGCCGGTGGCCAGTTCCGTTCTAACTGCCGGTTGCTGACGCGAGATCTATGCTGGGCAAACAGACAAGTCCCCGAGATCCCGGGATGGATGTCGATGAGCGAATATTCGATGGCCTATATATATCCGGCGGTACAATGGCGCCCTCCGGGCACAAAGGACACACGACGATGGAGAGATACGAAGTGCCTCCCCGCGACTCTCCATATCGATTCAAAATCAATACGGCGTATCTCGACGATGTGTCAATACAAAGAGGCCCGGAGCGTGCAGCCAGAGCAGCCCTGGCCGGCCTTACAATTGGTTCTTGTACCGAAGCCAACTAAAGGCCTCGAGAGCCGCGAGAAGGCCGGCAAACAGGTTCTTCCATCGATCCCGTGCCCGCTCAAAACACCAAACCACCCCCTCCGTTCGAAGGGGTTTGGTCTAGCGCTGCGCCTACGGTCCGCGAGAGTTTGCGAATCGAATATTTCCAAGTGTCGGTCGATAGCTCGAGGAACGTTCGACGTTATTCAGCTCTTCGAACGGGGACGTGCCACGGATTCTTGGCTCTACCGAGGGATTGTTGATTAATTTGTCAGATAGTTTCTTTAATTAATAACGCGAGGATCATTGTTGAGAGTAATTCCGCTTTCGAAATTGCTGCAGTGGATGGAGAATGAGTTATAGATAGATGTTGACGTGAAGATTCTAGAATATTTTTTTTTTTTTTTTTGGTAGGGAATCAATTTTATTTAAGCGTTATTGTGTTATAATGTTTAAAACGTCGAAGACGTCGGAGTGTGGCGATCGTTTGCAAAAGTGTACATTCGACGATGATCTTCAAATATGTTTTGAACAACTTTTTCACGTAGATATATTTGTCAGAGCTTCGATCAAGTTTTTATGAAATTTTTCTTACTAGAAATTACGAAATACTGTCGTCGTGATATATATTAAGAAATGCAATTATGTTCACTAAAAAATTGAAAGTGAGAAAATTGTGAATTGATGATTTCAATAGTTCGAATATGGAGATTTTCGTACATTGGAAAATGAAAAGGTACTTTGAAAGTTCAATAATAGCGGTTGTTCGCTGAGTTATCAGAATGTCGTCAGAGTGAATGGCGGAACTTGGAACTTTTCACCAAGTGCTAAGCATCGAGTTCGACGAACCGTATTGCAATACAGACGCCAAATATGCGTCTGGGATATCGGCGCCGTGCGAGTTACAGCACAGTCGCGTATGATGCCAACTTAACGTACTGGCAGACAATCCAGTACTTGAAATGGTGCTTTTACAGTTTTTATTACGCTCGCATGCCGAAATTTATTACCGGTTAACTTACAGCTTTTACTACAAGCGTTTCCCCATCCCGAGCACCGTTTATGGGAGCTACTTTCGAGTAATTTTTTTTTCTTTCTAGTAACTTTTATCAATCGGACATTTTTATCGGCGCGATATTCGTCTCTCGAATATTTATGAAATGTACTTCCGCACAGATATGGGAGCAGCCTTTCCTTTTCAAGTTACTTTCCGAGAAGTGTATTACATTTTCGTGTCTACAACGCTGTTTAAAAATCAAAAATCTTTATTTGTTTCAGAACTAGAAAAATCAACAAAGAATCCGTGAAATGTTAATCTGCGTACTGTAAATAAAAAATTACGAGAATATTAAAACAGAGTATTAAAAGTAAAAAGTGTCCTAAGAATTTTCCCAGCAAAATGAAATTGACGATAAATAATGGTCAAAATGACCATTTCTAATTTCTCGTGGAAATTTCATTGACTACGGTGTATTTTTCGAGATTTAAATATTTCAATAAAAACTTGCGTTCTTTATCGCGTTATTCGTTCTCTGTTGCTTCAATTCTTTCACACAACACAAAATTTCATACCTCGATCGCCGTAGTTTCAGCGCTGTTGAAACCGAAACGCAGCTAAACAAGAAGAAATCTCTATTCGCTCGACCGAGAGACCAGTTGAAGTTCAGTTATCGTGAAAGAGCCGTGAAAATCTCGAACGATGGATTAAATTCTCGTCTGGACGGGGTCGACGAGGACGAGATCCTGGGGGCTTGCATCGTCGAATTGCATCGGGCAATGTCACGGTGCATTAAGATCGGACCGAGAGAGAAGGTGGAGGAAGCGAAATCGTTGATCGATCGCCGGAACGTTGCGAAAGAGCGAACGCAAACAATCGCCGGCGTTCCGGGAGTGAGCTGTAAATAGCGATACTTTCCGCGAGGGGTGGTAAATGGCGTGGCTCGGATTCACGGTCAAAGATGCAGAGGGAAGGTAAATGACTCGAACGAGAACAAAGAGGGGGTGGGAGGAGCAGCCGATGGAAAATAAACCGCGGAGAGGCTGCAGTTCTGAGTGAGAAAGAAAGACGGAGGTAGGGTGAGAGAGAAACGCGACAGATGAAATATTAATTCACGGGTCAGAGGCTGCATTAAACCGGAAGTACAGTCGGCTAGCCGCACAGCGCGGCAAGCTGTTGCATCCGGTTCCCCCGTGGACCATGTGACGTCGAAACGTGGCGTTCGGCACGAAACTTGATGAACTCGAGGCTTCCGTCGTGTATTTGCAATGATATCTCACACGGAGAGATTGATTTTCTTTCTTGTTTGATATTTTATAATTTTTCCATCATCTCCCAAGTCCCGTTTAGTGGCAACGTTTGATCGTTACTTCTTTAAACAATCATGTTGGTCGATAAAATTTCTGCTCCACAAACGCGGCGCGTGGCGGAGGTGTATTTAATAGAGTGTAATTCCTGTGTTTCCGTAATATTTTGGAATGGTTTTTTTTTCCCGGTTTAAAGCCGATTGTTGATGTTTCATCAGCGAAAATATTCAGCTGTTTCGTTAAATAACGGAACGTAACATTTTTTTTTTTTTTTTTTGATGGAAAAACTGTATTTATTTCTGGTTTATGTTCGATTGTTATTCGATTAATTTAAACAATAATCATGCCGACTGATAAAATTTCTGCTTTACAGGTGCAGTAAAACGAAAGTGTGTTTAATAGAATGATGTACTGACGATTCGTTTACGTTCCATTCATTATTTTATAATTTTTCTCTTGATCTAAATGATTATATTGTATTAATGGTTAGTGCTTTTTCAAACAACAAAGTCTTTCTATGAATAAAGTATGATGGAATTTATTATTATTATCCAATTCATCATTTCATTATATCAAGTTTATATATATTACAAATCTATTTGAGTTTAAATATATATAATTTGCATCAAACAATAACCATAATGATTGACGAAATTGCTGTTTCGCAAATGCAGTATAATTGAGTGAATTTAACAGAATAATACATTAGTAAAGTCTTGTTCAGATTAGTGAATCTGGTTTCTATCTGACGCTTGTATACATACAAATCATGTTACCTGAAGTTCACCTAACGTATTTACAAGTTGCTTAAATCAATTCAGGCTAATGCAAGTCGAATCACGCTAACGTTCATACAAGTTAAATGACTCGAATTCAAGCAATTGAATGTTGCAAACTTACCTTCGTACAACTTTAATTTTAAATCTCTCATTTACTTCACTTGAAACACCCATCCCTTCAAACACCATTTATTCTCGCTCACATCGGTTAAAACAGTTCTTCCTTCCACTTTGTTCGATTTCAACCAACTTGAATGGCTCAGTGGTTCAATTAAACGCGTTAAGGACAAAGACGATCGATGTGAATGATGTTTTTATTATACAATAAGCTTCTATCGATTCAGACCGTTAGGTGTGTCTGACTGACTGAAGTAGGTTCGAAGGACTCGCTTAGCCAAATATTGACTATTGAACTTGACTTGATTACTGGATGATTAGTCGCACTAAACTTGTGATCTCCTCAGAGTCCTCTTAGATAACAAGATCTTGGTCTGCCCTTTCCAAAGGACTCCGAGGAGTTGCGAAAGCGGGGGGCACGTTGAGGAGATATGGAGGCGAGTTTCGAGAATTTCTCACCTCGTCGTGAGAGCGACTCGCGACAATATTTCTGGCACACGTGTGTTTATGGCAACTTTTATTATTGCGTGGGAAAATTCGCCGCACTTGAAATTAACTGAGATTTATGGGACGCCTGGTTAAAAATTTCTCCAACAAGTGGCCTATACCTGCGTATACCTGCTAGCAGAGAAAGAATTTCCAATTTGGAACTCTATCTGGAACACGTCCAAGTCGAATTCCACTAATACTGTCTGTCAATAAACACACAGTCCTACGGTATTTAAAAAGAAACACGTGCCATTGTCGTCGATCTTCTTTTTTGCCGTCGTCTGCACCGAGAGGAATGTATTTCCACGTGTTTGGCTGATCGATCGTTCGCCCACACGGATAGAGCAGCCCCCGTGTACACGATCGCGACTGGGCTTCGTCGCATTATCTCTTTTCGCTTGACAAATTCGCCGCACGTATCCGTCATAAAATTCATTGCGCGTGCAACGATTGCGCGAGGCGTCCGGAAATGCAGCGGCGCGGGCTTATCGCGATAGAACAATGACCGTGGCTCTGGCCGGAGGGCCATTGGCGCGGCCGCGTCACGGCAAAAACGGAAACGCGGGGCACAGAGAGAAAAAAAAAAAAAACCCGCCACCGCTATAGGAACCGCGTACAATCGGGCGCACAAACCCG